GCTCCACCCGCCTCCAAAGTCGTAAAATGCTGAAATCTCAGTGTGGGGTTTATCTCCTCTTTCCTGGTCTCTTTCACATCTAACTTGAGGTCAAGCCCTGACAGTTTTTCTCTTTCTCCTTTTTTCCCTATGACTTCAACCCTGTGGAGGCCCTGGTGTGTCCTAGGCTCTGTTTCTAGGCTGCTTTCCTTCTTTTCACTTGACGACTCTTAAGGTCTGAGCCCAGCACCACGTCCCTGTTAGCGCATCCCCTCCGCCCTCTCAGTGCTGGGTGGAGGACCAGACCCTGTGTACTCAGCACACAGAGCAGTGCCAGGCATGCTGTAGATGCTACCGAAGTATTGGATGCCAAGCGCCATTTCGGGACACGGGCAGTCCTCTGCCAGAGGGTTGCTACCCCAGACACCCTCTCAGGAGGTTCCGTACCTGCCGAAGGCCTGGGTGCGGTCTGCCCGTGTCTACCTGCAGTGGTCTCTACAGTAAGCATGAGGGATCAGGCTGTGATGGGAATCTTCCACTTCTTTTCTTGTCTTCTTACATTCTTTTATGTTTTCTGGTTTTTGAGTAAGTTTTATTCTCTCTGTATACATGCACATGCGTGTGCACTGTGTATGTGTGTGTATTCTCCACAGGGTCTCACACTGTAGCACTCAGGCAAGCCTGAATGTCCCTACATAGTCCACCAATGCTTACCTCAATCTTAGACCAATTCTCCTGGCTGCAATTACAGGCATCAGTCACTGTGCTGGGCTTATCTATCTTGTACATTTTTAAACAAGGACACATAGCCACAGTTTACAAAAGGTGAAACACAAGTGTACACGTTAATAAAGTAACTGAAAGTACATATATTGGCTGAAAAGCCTTGTCACTGATAAAGGATGGCAAGCAACTGAGTTTAGGGACCCCTCTTGGCCCACCTGTACCCAGGTGAGCCTGTCAGTCTTGAATCCTAGACTTCCTCCTGCTTCTTGTGGGGCCTGTGAATTTCTGAGCATTGCTCATCTCTCTCTTGTTCCTATCATATCCCCCTCATTCTCTAGTTTCTTTTCTTACCCAGAAGTTCACCTTAAATGGCATCTGTCCCATCCGCAGAGACAGTTCCAAGTTCCAGCGTGAATGTAGTCTTCCTTGGATGTTTTCTGTGGTACTTCCTGTCCACTCAGGCCCTGCTGTTTTCTGGGTCAAGATGTCTTTCAGTGCCGTGGTTCTGCATCTCTTCTTCCATATTGGTTCTTACATGGCCATGCCTTTAAACTAGGTTTCACTCGCTGACTTCATTTTGAGCTGTTTTGGCATTTCTTTCTCATTTATCATTTATCTGTAGACACACACCTATACTTTTTAGATGACATTAATACACCTATTTTTTAATCACAGAAATACATAATTCTTTACTCCAAGGGCAAGGTTCATTTGCTAACTCCATGATCTTGATCTCCTTTTACTTGACAGTGAACGTCAAGTGAGGGGACATGCCTCTCTGCTACACAGTGAGGGATTTTTCCATATGTAGATTTTTTTCTTTTACTCCGAGTGACATAAAGTCATAATGTCAGTGCCCGACGCAGCTAGCGTTCTGAGTTCTGTGTGCCTTTCTGGAGGGTCCTGCTGGGCAGAAGCTGAGGGGCACACAGCAGGGCACAGCCTCCTCTCACATGGCTGCCATTGCTGTACACACCATCGGATTTGGGGTCAGAGGATAGCCATCTTTTTAAAAAGATTTGGGGGGGGAGGGAGTGTGTGTGTGATGCAGTGGAGGTGCCTCTGGAGGTCAGAAGAGAGTGTTAGACCCTTTGGAGCTGGGTTAGCAGGTGGTTGGGAGGGTTAGCCTGAACTTAACCACTGAGCCATCGTTTCTAGCCTCATTGCTTTAAACCTTGAACTCGATCGAGTCATTTAACTTCTCAAGTCATTTAATGATCTTATTAATCTATGTCAGGGTCATGAGGCGTCCTTGGGATAGTATCTTAGGACAGTGCTTTCTTCTTAGAAAACTGCTCCTTACTGTCCCTTTAAAAGCGGACACCCTCCGTGCCCTCTGGTGTACAGTGCTTTCAGTATGAACAGACTCAGAGGCGGGCGCACTAAGCTTAGGCTTGATGTCGAAGGCCGAGCATCATGTTGGGTTGGCCTGCTTTCTGGCCTTGTCTCTCCTAGAACGTCTATGGCTTCCCCAGAGAGTATGAAGATTAATTGGTTAATCTTTGTAAAGTGCTTTGAAGGTGGAAAGTGCTATGTAAGTGGAATGGTTGACTTGCTATTGGAGATATAATAATGATGGCACCATAGTCTGGCAGTCTTGCATGCCTCAGACATCAATAATCAATAGCAGAAAGTTCTAAGATGGTTTTCCTTGATTTGAAGGAAAGGATTCATGTGCGTTCATGGGAACACAGTTCTTTTGGTGGTCCTGCAGATGCTCAATTTGGTACTTCTTCCTAGCTGAGGAGTGCTGGTGTCCTTTAAGAAGCAATGGGTTGGGGTCAAGGCACAGAGATGCTCAATCAGCAAGGTGCTTGCCATGCAAGCATTGAGGACCCAAGTTTGATTCCCACACACACAAAAGCCAGGCACAACGGTGTATGCTTGTAATCCCGGTGCTGGGGGCCAGAGATTGGAAGATACTTGGGGCTTGCCGGCTAGCCAGTTTAGCCAAATAGGCAAGCTCCAGGTTCAATGGGAGACCCTGACTCAAAAAAAAGGAACATGGAGATCAATTGAAGAAGACACTTGATGTGTTTTCTGTCTCTTTCTCTCTCTCTCTCTCTCTCTCTCTCACACACACACACACACACACACACACACACACACACACGTCATCTTTTAGTCTGATTGTAAATTCTGACCAGCTTAGGTGGAGGGACAGTTGGCCACTGTTTGCTGTCCTGGGCACAGACTGTTTTCAGTCTAATCCCCCAGGAGAGGCAGGAGTGCTTCATGATTATAGTGACTTGAGCGGCAGCGATGCAGCCTGGGCCACATGAAGAGATGCAGCGTAGTCGTGTGTCCCGAGCAGGCCACTTCTCTGACTCACTCTTCTTAACTGTTGGATGGCAGCATGACAGCTGAATACAAAGGTGGTAAGTGTCGTCTTTTCTGGGAACATGGAGGGTTCAGGAAAGGGTTCATAGGACCAATGGTATGTGCGGTAGACTCAGGAGAGCTGTGATTGCCGGGTTAGGAAGGACAGCCAGTCATAGTGAAAGGAGCAGCACGTGAGTACACGGAAACCAGCACTCCGAGCCATTCCCAAGTGCGTAATATCCCACATTTCCGATGGGCTGCACAGGCTTGGTTCCCATCTTAGTGTCCTGCTGCTGTGAAGCGACATACATCCTGACAGTGGCAGGTCTTATAAAGGGAAACATTTAATTGGGGCTGGCTTACAGAGTTAGAGGTTTACTCCATAATCATTATGGCAGGAAGCATGACACCACACAGGCAGACGTGGTGCTGGAGAAGATGCTGATAGTTCTGCATCTGAATTGCACACAGCCAAGAGAGAGAGACACCGGGCCTGGTTTGAACATCTGAAACCCACCTCCAGTGGCACACTTCCTCCCACAAGTCCACACCTCCTGTGAGGGCCATTCCTATCCAGACCACCACAGTTGCCTCCTGAGAAATCTGGATGCCAGCTTTCTGTGTTTCTGCCTGAGTGGGTGCCAGCAGGCTGAACCTCAGAACGTTCCCGCAAGCCCCATATGCCTGCGGTCTTCTGACATTTCTGCCATCCTCTCAGGCTGCTTCTGAGCTGACACTGGAAGCCATATGTTCCGTGTGGGGCCAGATGAAGCTTTGATATCAAACATAGTAGCTTTGTCTTGGATTTGATATGCATTTCTTGGTGTTTTGTTTCTCAAGCAGAGTTTTACTTTGTTGAAATAAACCCAGATCAAGAATTTACACGGTGCACATGGCTGCGCACATTTACTGCAGAAAATCTGTTAATAATCTATGCCTCAGCAGATTTTGCAGTTCTTTAGGAATAACCAAGGCAGCACTTGGTGGAACTGAATGAATTTGGTGAAATCTCGCTTATCTGGGGAACGAAAGGCCATTGCTCCTTTTCTCAACCTCATTTTCCTCTGTCATCTGCAGCACTGGCTGGCTTCCCACTTGGTGCTGAGGAATTGAATGCATTTCTGGCTCCAAATGGTGTTTTTACAATTTTCTCCTCCTGCCCCTTTCTTCTAGCATATACACGTTTGCCTTGGGCTGCTGGGATTGCTCCTCTGGCTAAAGGAGGACTTCTTGCGGCCCCAGGAGGGGCAAACAAGAGACCTGCAGCCAGTTGGGGAATGGCTCTAAAGGATGTGAGCTATGGATTTCACTCAGGATGCAGGCCTTGGACTGGATGGGAGGGAGGAGAGTTGAGACTTGGTATCTGGGGAAAGCAGAAGGAGGGGGTGGTGGGTCTGGGAGAGAGTGGGTGAGCCACCAGCATAGTTGGAGTTTACACATGGTGATGTCATCTTTATGCAAGAGCATCATTGGCTCGAGAGGCCCCTCTGATTCTGGCTCTGGTCCTCTCTACTTGTTTGTTCTTGGGGGAGTCTTATCCTTGGGGTAGCCTCTCTGAATATGAAGACTCATGCTTTCTTATTTTCTTTTTTGTTTTTAAAAACTCTTTGTGTATACACACACGAATGCACAGCATTCTTGTGAGACTGTGGGTCTGTGTGTGCCGTGGTGTGAGTGTAATGCTTACAGAACAATCTGGGGTGGTCCTTGCCTCTCCACAGGAGGACTGGAAGTACAGATGTGAACTGCCTCATCTGGCACTCCACAGGTTCTGGGGATCTGAACTCAGGTCCTCAGAGTTACATGGTGAGGAATCTGAGCCATGCCCCTCTTTCCCATCCCCCAGCCCAGCATTCATGTCCTTCACTGGGACATAACGAAGTGAACAGTCACAATTTTACTAGTCACTGTTATTTACCCTCGAGAGCACGTCTGGAGAGCATAGCTTTCATTCAGATCATGTTTGTTTGCAGAAACTGGCAAGGTGTTCACCTGGGGTCGAGCAGACTACGGTCAGCTGGGGAGGAGGTTGGAGTCTCCCGAAGGCCAGAAACCCGGAGAGCATGATCCATCACTCGCCTTCTGGAGGCCGCGGAGCAGTGTGCCTTCGCCCCTGCATTGCCTGACAGGAGCAGCGGAGGTGAGTGGCTTCCCTTCTCACAGTGACGTGTTTCCTGCTACTCACCAGGTGTTTTGAGTTACTCATACAGGAATCTGAAGGGATGCTTGTTCACAAGAAGCTGATGGTTTAATATGGTAGAAAGGTTGGTTCTTGGTTGGCTTCGTGTTTATCACCATAAGACAGGCTGTGTAACTCATTTAGGGAGGTTCAGAGTCCGGTTATTCAAGGTCTGCTGGCAGGAGCGGGAGCTGGAGTTCAATTGGTAGGAAGGTTGGCTTGGGCTTTGAGGTATTGAGGGACGGATGCGACTCAAGTATTTGGAAGAGAAGGGAGGACTTTTAAGGACATAACACCTTTAAGCAGAGTCCCATGGTGTGAGGATGTGAGGAAAACATATGGGGGCTGCAAACAGTTAAATTGGCTGGGGCACGGAGACCTGATGAGGTCATAGCATGGGGGTGGGGGCTAAAACCCAACCTAAGAGGTCTTCAATAGTGAAGTAAGTATTTTGCACCTCTGTTTATATTTTCCAGTGAAGAAAGCATTATAGCCCACTTGCTCATTCAAGCCACTTTGGTTCTCTGAAATGGCCTGAAGTTCTACATGTAAGGCAGGAATCAATTTCTCCAGGGTGTATGTTTCTGTCACTAAATTTTACTTCACTGTTGTCTTTTTGTTTGTTTTAAAGAAAGGTTAAGGGGGTTGGAAGAATGGGCATTAGGGACTGTGCCTCTGAACTGGATTTAGTTTAATGAAGGAATTCAGCCTTCATTCAGTCTGTCAGAAAAATTAATAAGCTTGTAAGACTTCTGTAATTAGCAAGAGGCTGATTACAGCCCTCTCCACACCTGGAAGTTCCCCTTCCCCAGGGCCACCTGGCCACCTCCTCCTAGGCATGTAGGAGGGTTTCGTTTCTGCTCAGAGCGTGGCCCTCATTCTCCTGAGCTCTGCCTCTGTGCAAGCTGAGGCTCTGCTCTCCTCTCCCCTTTGACTGGTACAGCGTTAAGCAGCACCGCAAAGACAGTATGTGGACAGCAGTACAAGCAAGCCCGCCTTCAGCCCCCACCCCAACAGAGCACCTCCTTTTTGCATGTGCATGAGTTCATGCTTGAAAAAGGCCACAGAGATAGTGTTTGTGATTTATTTCAGCCTTTGTTCATCACAAATGCTGTTTCATTTCCTCTTGGTCCTAAAATTGTCGTTTAAAATAACTATAGAGAACCAGGGAGATGGCTCTGCAGGTAAAGAAGCCTGCCACCAAACCTGTTGACTGTGCTTCATCCCAGGAACCCACAGAATAGAAGGAGAGACTGGCCTCTTCAAGTTGTTCTCCAACTTCCATGCATGTGCTCTGACATACATGTGACCACACACATACACACAAAATAAACAAATGTCCAAACAAATTTTAAAGGGCTTTCCAACATTACTGACTAGAGAGTTTGGGACCTTCTAAACCATTCTTTAGACAGACAATCTCTTTTATTTATGTATTTATTTGCATCACTGCTGTTGGACTGAGCTGTGAAAGCCCGTGAACTGCTTTTTTAATTAATTTAGTTTTTTGAGACATGGTCTCTCTGTGTAGTCTTGGCTGTGCTGGACTCTTTTTGTAGACCAGGCTAGCTTCGAACTCCCAGAGATCCGCTTGCCTCTGCCTCCCTGAGTGCATCAGGGATCACAGGCCTGCACCACTGCGCCTGGCTCGGGACTGCTTCTTTAGGGTAGACTCTTGGGGCCGAAGCTGAAGGGCTCGGGCTCGAGCATCTTTAGGGTCTACTGTGTTTAGGTTCTCTAGGTTCTCTGCTGTGAGCAAATGAAGGAATGCAGCACCTAGTCTCTCCTGTATAGTGCGTTCATTTGCAGAGAGCCTGGTGCACAGCGTAACAGTTGTTAGCATCTCTTGTCCTTCCTGTGTCATTTGAAACTTTGGGTGGCATGGTAGCAGAGCCGCAGGTGCCTCATCCATTCCTCTGTCTCTGGTTCTGCTGGCAAGATGCTGGTCATAGTTCCTAAGGTAGCACCTTATGTAACACACAGGCAGTTGGTGAGGATGGCATGCATATTCTGCAGGTAGTGGGGATTGGTTGCTGTTGGTTACATTGCCTTCTGCAAGAAGCCTTCAAACACCTGTATTGGTCCAGTGTGTCACACGGCTGCAGACACAGATAGTGAACATGCGCTCTGTGACCCTGCTCTGACCTGACTGGGTCCAGGTACTGGGGTTGAAGCAGGGCCTTGTGCTTATCCGTGCTGGGTGGGCACTCTACCACTCAGCTATGTCTCCAATCCGTTTTTTCACTTTTTAATTTGAGATAGGTTATCACTAAGTTGCTCCAGCTGGCCTTGAATTTGCTCTGTGGCTCACACAGAGCCTTGAACTCATGATCCTCCTGCCTTGGCCTCTTTCAGAGATGAGAGTATAGGCCTGCACCACCAGGCCCAACAGGTGTGACTTTTAGGAGCAAGATGAAGCGTGGGCTTAGATTCCACCCCACGGCCCCAGTGGCTGCATTTGGAGCTTTCCTCCTCTGCTCCAGGCCCTGGGCTCATGTATATTCCTGGGTCTCTGCACAGGTTCAGACCCCAGGCTGCCACATGCTGGTCAGCTGTGTTGGGCATTGTCTCCTGTTGATGATTGTGCCTGGCTTCTTTAGCATCTGTTTGCCAGAGGCTCGGGAAGAGTGAGGCTGGTAGGCTGTCATAAACATGTAGGTTTTGGGCGTATTTGCCTTGGAGAAGACAAAGCTATACTAAGCTAGGTGCTCCTGAATGGCAGGTGCTTGGGTGGGGTTTGGGACATAGGGTCATCTGGAGAGGCATGAACACCCTGGAGTAAGGTAACAGTTTCCAACCTTCAGGGACCTGAGGGTGACACACAGAGCTGACCACTGCCTTTAAGTTTCATAAATTACCTTTCATGTCCAAGGCATAAGAAAAGGTGAGAGTGAGCTGTCTGTGCTGAGGCCTCATTGAACATCTGCAGAGAAAGGTCTAGAGCATGAGTCCTGCCAGGAGGGAAAGCACAGGCCGGTGGAGCTGAACTGCAGTACAACCTTCCTTCCTGGTTAGCAAAAAGGACTGATAAACATAAAGTTGCTAGAGATTCTTACAGGCCAGTGTGCTGGGTGCTTAACGGCCACACTCCCATCTTCATAATGAACCTGTGTGTGTGTGTGTGTGTTACTCAGAGTTTTATGCATAAGGAGTGCAAGGCTCAGAAAGGAGAGCTAAAAGTGGGCCAGGACTCAAGGTGCCAGCGACACTCACATCTTTTCAAAATGTGTGCTTTCCTGGATGAACGTTTCTGAGGTCTGGCTGGCAAGTCTACTGCCCCGAAAGTCTTGATTCTTTTGTTGTGAGCCATGTGTCATCTGGGAATGGAGTTCACCTGAGATTCCAGTCTGACTGGTCTCTCTTTAGCATCCCCACAGTGGCGAAGACTGTGTGTCTCCTGCACTATCGGTTTTTTACATTTCCCTCCTCTCTAGCTCTTTCGGGCAGTTCCAGGGGCCAGAGTCACGTCCCCGAACATGTGGTCGGCTTTGTTACTGGTGACTGGGAGACACATCACAGTGGCCTTTTGCTGCCTAAGCCCCAGGTGGGATGTTGCACATTTCCCATGGGCACTGGCTCTGGCTTGCACCCCAAGATGCAGCCCTGCATTTTACAGTTGAGATGTGCCTGGGCTCACTTAGTGGGTGCATGGGGGCTCTCTGAAGCTCCAGGGCAGTGGCGTTGATGACCTGGCTTGTCTCTGGGGACCTGTGATAAGAACGAGACTGGGGCTTCGTGTTGGGTCTCGTTCTGATTCTTCCCTGATGGGAACTTTGGTAAGCCTCTTTTTCCTATGAGCTCTTCGTTTCCCAGGATGTGAGTTGGTCCAGATGATTCTGGCAGGTTTTGTAGATCTAAGAATCCCTTTCATCCCTCCTTGTTATTTCTTGGCTGTGGTACTGTTGAAGCTCACAGTGACTCTGGCTTCTGGGGCTCCTCAGTTTCGAAGCCAAGGTCACTAATTCCAAGCTGCAGCTCAGCCCTGACAGGCCTGAATGATAGTTAGTTTGGGAAGTTCGGGGCTTCAGTACCATATCGGCTTGGTACCAAACAAAGTCCTCTGTCTTTGTTTCTGGTCCAGTTAAGCTGAAGGACCTAAGATGCTGCTCTGTTCTCTGATGCCTCCTATCGCTTCATGGTCTACCCAGAGATTATAGTTCGGCTCTCCTGCTGTGGTTTGTTGTTACCTCCCGTGCAGACCTCAGGGACCGGCCCTTCTGGATTCCCTGTTAGCCTCTCTCCGCTGGATTTTCGTGTGTAGTGTCCCACCTCTCCCATTCCTGGGCCTCTCTGGCATTTACCTCTTTCCGGACTCTGATGTCTCGGCCTTTCCCTGTCAACTCTGTAAGCACCAGCATTCAAAGAGCTTCCTAGGACCTGAGTGAACATGGCACTGGGTGGGGTGGGAGTGCTAGAGAGACAGGTGCAAGGACATGGTGAAGGCAGAGTGGCTAATTCCACGGACACTAGCAAAAAGGAACTACTGTTTGACCCAGGTTCTTAGAACCGAGTGTGCGTGTAGCAAAGGCCCTTGCATGCAGACGGGAGCATGAATGAAGGTGTGCCGTACTGCTTTGCCTCCCTGGGCCTGCGCCTGGTTCTGCTGTGTGGCTGCCTGTCTGGCCTGTCCCATTCCCTGGCACAGGAGTAAAGACAGTGCACATTTATGCATTGTCTCATTTGATCCTAGTATGGTGCTGTGAAAAAGGACTCAAGAGGAATGATTGTTTCCATTTACAATCAAGGACACTGGGTCCCAAACAGGCTTGCAAGGAGGGAGGAGAAGAGCCAAGACAAATGGCCTGATTGTCAGTGTTTCTGGGGGCTTGCCTGGGCTCAGCCTGCACTCACAGCCCTGAGTCATGTTCCTGGTTTAAATTCTGCCCACGTTTGGTTGAGGAACGCAGACTCTCCGCACACACAGCCATGGGAGCAGGAGCCATGGAATTAAACAAGACTTG